AGATTCTATAAAGAAACATGGAAAATAAAAAATTTTCAAATGTGTGTATCAGTTGGGATTTTGTTTCATAATACAACAATAGTAGGACAAAAACCAGTACTTATTTATATTAAAAGTGTGCAATTAATCAACATTTAATTTTTTTATATTATTTAAAACAAATAATAATACTTCAGTGGGTACAGCATAACATAAACATTTTCAATTTTCATTTCAACTCCCTTTGTTGAGACATTATTTTAGCTTTATTTCAAAAAATTGTAAATGTTATCAGAGGTATTGTATTTTTTATCAAACCATCTTTAAATATTAAATTATTACCATGTAAAAAAATGAGTACAAAATTTGTTAAATTTATTTATAACGAAAAATGTTTTAGCTTCAAATTTTGAATTGCGAGTCCAGGAAGGGGACTCAATAATAATTGCTTTATATATTTTATTCCCGCAGTATGTTTGGAGTCCCTTTGAGGAGATAATTATTTCAAATATCGCTAATGTTAGAGCAAAAGGTGGTATATGAAAATAGACTTTATTTACAGGAGAAAATAAAAACTGATTATTTCTTTATGATTTATTAGTATAATTTCATATTTTATTTCTCTCTGCTATTTTTCATAGTAACAGACTTCTTATAGGAAATGCGGACTACAAAATGTCAACTGAGCAGTCATGTTAGCACTAATAGAATAAGAATGAAAAAATGTTACATACAGCCTTTTGAGCTGACAGTATTGATATGTTAATACCATAGTATGTTTGGTGCCCCTTCCATATGCCCAAAAATAATTGTAGTAAATTGCCAGAACCAATTTCAAACGTAGGAAAAAAATAAAAAATAAAACTTTTAAGGATGGCATCAATGTTATTTGTTTTATTTTTTCTCCATTTCTAAATTTTTCAGAATCAGTTACTTCATCAAACTATGTCTCATTTGTGACCACCCTACCTACTTGTATGTCATTATAAGTAGTAGTAATAGTTAGATATAGGAGATAAGATAGTTAGATAAAAATTTAGATATATAGGAGTAATAGTTAGAGATAGGGAGCCCATCTCCCCTCCCCCAAAATCGATGGTGCATGAATCTTCCCAAGATATTTTATCAGTTGTCTCTACTTAAAAACGGTGCAAACAAAAGTATAATTTATATATTCGTAGAATATATACAAGTACACATCCTACAGTCTTCCACTTGTCTTTTTATTTAAAATTTTTAATTTTGAAAACTTATAACTCCTCCCTCAAAATGTGTCCCCTAAAAAATTCAAAACCCCGTCAAAATGTGCCTCCCTCAAAAATTTTCATGGCGTGCGCAACTTGCACCATGAAACTCCCTTCTGGGCATCTCAGGTTGTATAGACATCAAACCAAGATGGCACTACAAAAAGGGAAGATAAGATTAAATGGATAAAGCTGGACTTATCAAGTGATTAAATAGCCACAAGTTTTTTTACATATCCTCTTCAGAACCCCACCTTTTCGTTGGGGGTTCAACTTCAAACCCAAGTCAAAGACCTCCAGGGACAGAATTCCCGAACAGTCCTGCTTTAATATCAAATTTTCAGAATGTCTTCCTCTAAAGTACCTTTAATTTGGTTTATTTTAAATAATTAACTCTTTTAATGTTAGTAGTAATAAAAATGGTTCAATATACATAATGAAAAAAAAATTGATAATTTACTGAAAAAGAGAAATGTTTTTTCAGGTTAAAAATGAATTTCCAGAAATCAGTGTCAGAATAACATCCAATACATTAAGTCTAACTTCTTATTGAAAAGTGATAAAAAACTAAAGACTACTTCTTTTAATTAACAATGACTACTTTTATATTATTAAATAGAAACTTATTTCAATTTTAAAATATTCAATTGAAATATTTCATGTAGTGTTTCAGATGAGTAAAACTTATGTTTATAACCTAAAATAAATTTACTGTCATTCAATAACTTTTGATCTGATAATATATATTTATAAAATAAATATTAAAAAAAAAAAATTGACTACAGAAATCAGGAAATCCAACATCAAATCAACACATTAGTAAATTGTTAGTGAAATTGACATCTTCGAATATTTCACTTGGTATAACAGTTGGGTGCCTTCTACATTATTTGAACAAAATTCAAAACTCTTTCAAAGTTGATATGAACCGATACATGGGAAGAAATCTACTTGCCAGGAACTATTATGTGTAGTGAAAAAGTAACCGAATACTATACCAAGTTTAAATACTCCTAGATATCAATTTCCCTGACAATCTACCAAGTAAATTAAAAATATTGACATTTTGATCCTCTATTTTTTAATCCTTAAAATATCTGAAACAGGCTTAACATTGCATTTCATCCTTAGATTTTCATTAGCATTAATAGCAACAACTAAATGTTTGGTTCCTCAGATTAATCTGATTCTTCAATCACAATCAACTCTTCATTTATGAACTTCTCAATGATATCTTTAAAAAATAATTACATATCTCAATTCTCAAATTTATTCAATCATATTAGTCACCTCATCCATTTTTTCTTCTTTGTATTGTTTGTGTATTTTTAAAATAATTTTATCTATATTCCATTCATAAATTTTTTATAAGAAATTCGGTGGAGTTAACAACGACCAATAAGAAGACTTATTTTATTTTGTACGGATATTTTGCCGAAGTATTAGCCTTTCATCACGGCTAAGGAAAAACAAGATAACAACCAATAATAAAGATTGAGGGTAACAGTAGAAATAATATAGAAACAACAATATTAAGAAAATATTAAATTGATAACAGTATAAAGAAATTAAGGAGTGAAACTATAAAACCAATATGAAAATGAAAACTATAAACATGTTTATAATGAATTAAATACATATGTATGTGTGTAAAAATAATGAAAATAAAATTAAATATGAATTAAAAATTATGATATGTAAGATAAATTGAAACTTACAAGTATTAAATGATAATGAAACCATAATATTAATGATTATGATTATTAAGTTGGTAAGGAATATTAAGTTAATGAGTTGATTAAGTTGGTAAGGAATATTAAGTTAATGAGTTGATTAAGTTGGTAAGAAATATTAAGTAGTAGAACATACCAGGATACAAAAGGTGGTATAAGTATAATGGACACACCATTGGTTTATTGCAAAAAATCATTAATTGACATTTCATAGATTAATTATTGGCACAACCTCAATTAATTAAGAACTTTGAACAATTTTTCCTTTGTGAAATCTGAATCTTGCTGTAACTATATTTGATGTATAAAAGAATTTTTTTAATTTTCATTCATTTGCATAGTTTTTGCATCGACAAATAAAGTCAAAATTCATAAAAACATTTTTGAAAGTTAACCTATATCAAAAATGCACTAGGTGATTTTTTGTGATAAACCAACAAACTGATTATTCATGAAAATATTGAGATAAATTCAATATGTAAGAGAAAAATTAAAATAAAATAATGAAATATATGATACGAAAAATAATATATGTCATTAAGAAAAGATAATATAACTATGATATAAGTTAAAATCATAAGTATTATAGTTTTATTTATTTAAACCATTCTCTGCCTTTTAAGCAATATTGGTGTTTGTTATTAGAATGTTATGTATGACTGAATAACATCCCACTGCTGCAAGATAATCAATTTACAATCAGACAATGATCAAATTTTCTTCTAACCCCTGTTCCACGTTGGGGGGTCCTTTCAGGAGCAGAAACTTTAATCTCTTCTCATTGAGGTTAAAGTCCAATGGGCCTACTGCTTTCCTGCATCTCTACACAAACTCTTTGTCTTATGAGTAGTTTCCTTCAGTGACCTATTTTCCTCAGCAATTTGGTCCATAGTGATTCAAAAGTGATGCAGTTCATAATGAGCTCAGTAGTCCCACATGCTTTTTTAATCCGATGATAATATTGAGGTAAAATTCACTTGTTGATTCCATTTACTGCTATTGAATTTTCAGAATGATGGATCGAAAGGGAATTCAGTTGATAACAACATTTCTACTCGATAATGGTGTTCATGATCTTTAACTAATCTAAAACCAGGCATTCTCGTAAGCTTCTTTTTGAATGTGTCTGTTTAGGCATGTTTCGCTGTATAAAGTGGTTTAAATTCATAAATTTTACACTAAAATTTGCTTTGACAAATAATTAACTTTTGGAGCATCTATTCCAAATATCTTTAAATATCTTGGCAGCTTTAAAATCTGTTTTTGCTACCTCTCCACAAATCTACATGCAACGATAGTTTTCACATTTACTTAAGTCTTTCAAATCAGCCGAAACTTGCTTAAAAATTTGGTTCCAGTTGTCACTCTACTTCATCAAATCTTAAAAAAGACTAGGCATTTTAATATGGTCATCATAAATGTTATTAAAATATATTTTAATAATAAATAATCCATATAAAACTTTAAAAATATTTCTATTTGATATAATGGACAATTTCATTATTTAATGATAATAGTTGCATTCACTGACATCAATTTTTTTTATGCCCCAACAATATGTATTTTGTCCTTAAACATAATTTAAATGGTAGAAATGGTTTGTTTAAATTCCCATGACAGATCTGATAAGTTTCCCCACTGCTCTGCTGTCTTATTATTTTCTTATGTTTATAACTTATATTGGTTATTTTGTGAATAAAAAATTCAATTGTAAGTTTTATAGACAGCAAAACTTTAAATTTAATAAACTATTTAATGACAACTACATATAATGGGTAATTGACAGCACATGAGGTGCTATAATAGGATTATATAGAATAGATAATGGATATAATGGGATTGTTGGATTAGCATTATGTCAGAATTTAAATAGGTAATAAATACCTGGTGCTCATATCTGATGACAAAAACAAATATAAAAGAACTTTTATACATATGCATTTTACCGGATGGTAGTAAGCCAAAAACTGGCAGTATGTGAAAAAAATTTCTCAATTGATATATTTTATAAACAGTAATGGTAAACAAACAAAAAAAATTATATTTATCATTAAAAAATATATTTCTTTATTATCACAAATATAAATAACTATTCTAAAGTACATACAGGATATAAAAATAATAATTAGAAATTGAAACAATTTAACTCATTGAATCAAAACTATTTTCATCAAAAAGACCTGAATTGCTCTTGATTAATTTTATAAAAAATTCATTTTCGTCTTCAGAATTTGTTGTGATAAATTTATCTTCCACACGATGAACATCAATTCCAAACCTCTGAATAGAAAGGCCCTAAATTAAATAAATATATATTAAAAAAAATAAATATCTCAAGTTTTAAATTTTACTAATATAAGATTCTAACATGCGAAATGTCAGGCCTGAGGGTGAAAAGAATGCAAGAAATATAAAAGCAAAAAAAATAATAAAAATTAATTTTTTCTGTTTAAAAATATTCCTTATAATTCCCTACTTATTTATATTATACAAGCTCCTTCTTTACCAACCTTTGAACCCTAAAAATTCAAAGATAGGATACAACTTATAACAAGAATAGTAAAAAGTTCATAATGAAAATTACTTTACTAAATATTTATTATAAAGACAACTTCAACAATGGTCCTAGTTCATAGATGAACATAATTATAATCAACAGTTATGATTACGATTATGATTATACTAAAAAAAAGAACACAATCATTTTATTACACAATTGTAATGGTAATCATGGACATAATTTTGATTATAATCGCGTAATCATGTAATTATAATAATTGTAATCAATATCACTGTAATTGTAATCATAATTGATCAGATGGCTAATAAAACTAACTAAGTGAAGTAAGTCTAACTCACATTCTATGTACTTGCAAGATTATAAAAGTAAATTAGTGTTTTGTTTAATTATGATAGTGTGCAAAAAATCATTATTGTTGTTTCATTTTTTTCATTGTTATGTATATATTATATATTTTAATAAATTGTCAAAAATAAAACATATTTAGAATTGTAAATAAAAAGCATAAATAATCAAATTACTATTTCAGTATTTTTTATTGAATCAGAAACTTCAAAAAATTGATTATCTCAAATTCATTAAAATGTTCCTTAATGATTTTTTCCCATAAACCGACGATATACACTATAGACTAATTTATATGAGAATCAGGGAACTAATTAACTTAACTTAAGTTATTATACTTACAATATATACAGATTGCTCATCACAAGTCACATCAAAATGTGCTGCCTGTAATGGCTTCATAGAAACTGAAATTTGAGGAAAATGACCCTCTTTACAAATATCCCAGAAATGAAGACTAAAAAAAAGAAGATAAATATCATCGCTATAAGATAAATATAATTAATATATGTTATTTATATTTAATTAAGTAATATAAAATGAAGTAGTAGAAAAGAATTATTTAATTAATGTGTTTTCAGCTTTATAGTTTTTTTTTTTTGCTCTGCTTACTCGCCTTTTAGGCTATATAGGGTTTTCCCAGACCAGGGGGTGAGGATGGGGGATTTATTCCAGAGTTAAAAGCCACCTTCTTCCCAGCACTGCGACACGAAATCGTACTTACTTTATCTTCATAACTTCGGTTATCAGGTTGCCGAGAAAAGGGGGCGGGGTGGCCGAATGGGCTAAAGCGTGTGCACAGCACTGCAAGTTGCCTGGCAACCGGATTACAGATTTGAGAAGATTTAAAAAGTACGAGTTCGTGTGCCAGTGCAGATTTTAAATTCTCCGCCCTCACGCCCCGGCCCGGGAAAATCCCGTATAGTCTAAAAGGTGAGGTAGGGAACAAAAAGAAAAAAAAGATTGCCAAGCAACGCGCAGTGATGCACGTGCGTTATCCCACTAGGACACTCCACCCCTCGCTTTTTGTAGAGTTATAGTGCATCCAAGATGAGTTTGCCTGTAGGGAAAGGGAGCTCGCACAGCCTTCCTCCACTCAAGTTCCACATTGCCAAAACCCCTCTCAAGCTCCACTTTCTTTCTTCACCATAGCATTTTCAAAATGTTTATTAAAGGTAGTAATTTAAATTTAAAAAGAAAATAAAACAGTGCCAAGGATGATTAAATAATCAAAATTAGAAAAAAAAAAATGTGAATTCCCAAGGTCTGATGTTCACAGAATTGGATGTTATAACTAGGGTCCAGATTTGTAAAGAGCGGGAAATCGACAGAAAAACGATTTGCCACTGTGCATCTCTATCCCCCTCTACCAGTAAACTCATCTTTGACAGAATCTACATACAAAATAGGTAGTGTGAAAAAACAAAACAATAGGTAACAATTGATAATCAAAATAGAATAAAAAATAGATACAATATATATATATATATATATATATATATATATATATATATATATATATATATATATAATGAAAAATACAAATAATACAAAGGAACTACAGGCAGCAAATTATATACAGCACATGAAATCACACCATTAAAGAAGATATAACTAAAACAAAATGTACAGTAGGAGCTCACTGGCACTATGAATATAATATAAAATATAAAACTCATAACTTTTCCAAAGAAGCCATTTTCCTCACAATAATTAATAATATTTGATGCTATACAGTCGCAAAAGGAAATGGAAAGTGATGCAAACATAAAAAATTTAACATATACGATGAGGTGAAAATATGGTAATTAATTGTTTTAAATGAAGTTATAGCACCATTTTCACTGTGACTTCCCTATATAAGAAAAAACCTATCTACTCTAAATTTGGTAAGTGAAAGATGTGTAATGTGAGCACCCCACCAGATTTTTAAATTTTGTAGCATCATTATGGCACATTTAAAGTACTCTAAGGTTCAGTGTAACACACTGAAATCACTATTCTAGATAGTAATTATTACCAACTGTTTCATACATAATAATCATAATTTCAAACAAAATTATTTAAAAATTATAAATACATAATCAATTATATCAATGCGAAAAAGTAACAATCTCACCTGAAGTTTTTGTCTAAAACAAAGAAAAGTCCAAGCCCTAGAGGTGACCATCTTATCTTTATTATTGGAGTATGTACAAAATCTTCGTCAAAGGAAATAATTTTAAATGGTTCAGGTTTATCAAGTACATAAAACCTAATATTACCATCATTACAACCAGCCTATAATAAAAAAATACAAAAATTAAATAAAATTTAAAAACTATAAAAGATGCTTCTAAAAGAAAATGGTTTGTGTAAAATATAAACTGTTTTTTACTTGTTTACATTGTAGTCCAGAAGCCATTGGCAAAAAGGTGAGTCATTTCATATGAAGGTTCAGCTATATAAATTGACAAATTTTTGACGTGAAATCTCCAGTTATACTGCAAATATTATTTCATGACTTAGAATAGTAAATAATATAAATTTAAAGGGTTGGTAGATTTCTACATCTATAGACTCTCTTTATATATAACTTTTCTATCTATATTCACCTGGCCGCTATATTGTGTTCCGTGCATTTTTCAGAACTATGGACATGGTCAATTTATAAGGCCAAACCTTAGTATTAAAAGTTACCGTTTTTGCCAAGTGCTCCTGGACTATTTCTGTTAAGAGCTTAAATTATCAATTTTAATAATAAATACCCTAAATATTTTTCAAAATATGATTACTGTACAAGGTTTAGAAATGAACATAAAGGAACAATAGATCAGTTAATAATATATGTGGATTTCAATTTTAACTGAATTCGAACTAGGTTCTTAAAGGTGATATGCGTTATGATTACTATAAATTATGATGTTTATTTCTATTGTTCCACAATAGAAACATGTTGGTGGTTCGTCTTTCTTCATCAGATATCCATGGGTAAGTCGACAATGGCCAATCCTCAGGTGAGTAAGAATTACCTCTTCTCTCTGTGACAGCTGTTGTTTTTTTCTTGGATGTTTAACATATTCTTCGATTTTTCTTATTTTATTTTCTCTCATGCCAAACCATTGACTTTGCCAACCCAACCATCCTTTTTCATTGAACCAACATATTATCATTGTTGCGAACACTTATTGAAAATATTTGATCGTTTTTTATTGCTCCTTTCGCCTGTGTGTCTGCATTTTCATTTCTAGAAGTTCTGCAGTGTACACTGAGGAGATGGGTTGCAGAGAAATTAAGTGGGTGTGATTGCCAGATACAACAGCAGTGCCTAATCCTTCATCAGATTTTGAACCGTCTGTTTAGATAAACGTCCAATAGCGGTGAGTGGATTTAAATTGTGGAATTTTTGTGCTATTTCCATTGGGGGTAAATGACAGATTATGTAGTTATTAATTACAGCTGGAATAGGTAGCAGCCATGGTTCTACGGCTGAAAGAAATTTGAACACATTTGGAAAAGGAATTTAAGATTTTTAATGTATTCTGAACATCTATTTGGGAAAGATGAGCAGCTGTTTGAAGATCTATTTGGGTGGGCTTGGGTGCCTATATTAGAGAAAAGATTGTTAAGAGAGTGCTTGTGCTTGGGATTAGATATAAATTTGGTGTAGTATTTGAGAGTTTGAATAATTCTTTTAATTTACAAAGGTATTTCAACTGCTTCTACGTGTAAGCTGGTGGATGGGCTGGAGCGGAAGGCGCCAGTAGGTGCCCTCAGAGCGGTATTTTGAATGGGATCTAACATCTTTCACTTGCCGAACTATAGGATACATATCCATAGTTAATTTTGGAAAGCATGAGTTGCCTATAAAGGGAGAGGAATGTTGTCCTGTTTGATGCCCAGGTTGCATTGCCTAGCATTCTTATGACGTTCAAAGCCTGCAAACAGTCAGTTTTTAGTTGTTTAATATACGGGATCCAAGTAAGGGATTTATCAAAGATAATTCAGAGATGTTTAATAGATTGAGAAAATGTCAAATTTTGCCCTTTTAATTTAATTCCATCTGATTTTAAATTCTTATTCTTTGCGAATAATATGGATTGTAATCTGGAGACCGATACAGTGGACCTACGATCCTCTAACTACTGAACGACACTTTGGATTGATTCTTCGAGGATATTTCATCTACTGACAAATGTTTTCCTTCTATATAATAGAAGATCATCAGCGTATAGGAGTTTGACAGGTGGTTTAACGTCGCTAGCTACCCCACTGGGTGCTATGTAAAATAGAATCGGGCTAAGAATGCTACCCTGAGGAACTCCATTTTCCTGTCAAAAATTTTGCGAGAAAACGTTTCCACATTGTACTTTGAATGATCATTCAGTTAGGAAGTTTTTAATGAAGTTCTACATGGGACCCTGTATTACGATATCTTTGAGTTTAGTTAATATAATGCATGCTTGGGTGGAGTTGAAAGCGTTTTTTTATGTCTATAAAAACTGCCATGATATGTTGTTTGATTTTGAAGGCTTGAAGTATATCAGATTTTAATTATATTAAGTTTTCCAATGTACTTCTATTTCTCCTGAAGCCGCTTTGCCATTCAGGAAGTAAGTTATAGTTATCTAAGTACCATTGTCGTCTTGTTGCAAACATTTTTTCTAATAGTTTGCACAGTGTGTTAGTTAAAGCAATGGGATGGTAGTTAGATGCTCGGTTCTTGGATTTCCATTTTTTTTTAAATTGGTACAACTATAGACCTTTGTCAATCATGCGGTATGATACCAGAGATAAAAACTGTGTTTAAAAAACTGCTTTATTTGCAAAAGTGAGTGCTTTTATCATGGAATATGTAATAACATCTGGATTGGGTGAGCAATCCTTACATGATTTTAAAGCTATGACAAATTCATGGAAACTAAAAGAGAGATTTAGAGTGCTCGATTGGTTTAAGAAAAATTTCTTAGAGGTCTATTATAGTTTTGGAGTTTTTTTAACTGAGGGTAGTGAGCCTGGAGAAAAAGTTAGTAAAAAATGTTCTCCTAAAGTATTAGCTATGTCTTCAGGAACTGTAACTGGTCCAGTGGTAGTTAATAACAGATTTATTGGAGTAAAACTTTTCTGTCCTGCAATTCTTTTAACAGCATCCCAAACATTACTCGTGGTTCTGTTGAGAGTTATTTTTGAGACAAAATCTTGCCAGTATTTTCATTTTCTTTGCTTTGCTTCAAATTCAAGTAATTTACTTGTTAACATAATTGAAGAGAATTTATTAATAAACTATAAAAAGAAATATCATCGTATGTTAAAAAATAGCATTAACAAAATACAAACTGGGAATCTATTAAGTATAAGCTGGTCGATAGGATGGGAATATAGATAAAAAGAAAGATGTAATTTTTTGTTAATAGTAGTGGTAGCGAGAGTTTCGTTTGGGTAATGGATTTATTTTCCTTGTTTGATAGTTTTTCTCCTGTTTGATAGCTCACTATAACATCATACCTCACTATAACTATTTTTTATATTAAGACAGAATGTTATACTGTTATACTATTCAATAAATAAATAAATGAAGAAAAAAAGAGTTCTCAGATTGCAGACAGCATATTGTGGAAAATCACTTTACTGATCCAATAGATCTTTTTATAAATTCATTCTGAAAAGTATAAAGTAAAAAAAAAAGTTTTGTGTTTATCACCTCGGTGTTTTCTTCAGTAATCTCAAATTGGATGAACTGAGATCATGAAAAGCATTTTAACTGATTTGATTAGCATAGATCCTTCAATTTGAGTATAAATAAAAATTAGAAAGATCAAGAATATATTTTATTCCTCTATTTAGAAATGTTTACCCAATTCCTAAGAATTCCAAATTATATTTATTTATCTACCAATAAAAAATGTTTATAAGCAGTAAGGCATGTATTACCACAAACAATGGAAAACCATGAGGATTTCTCTCTATAGACGTCACTGACATCGCTGAAAAGTAAAAAAAAAAAATACAATTTAAAAATGATTAAATAAATATAAAGCATACAAATATTATAATTTAGCTTATATTTTCCAAATATCAATCATTATAAATAGTAAAAAAGGGTTTAGAAATCATTACAAAAGCCTTGAAAAAAAAAATGAAAATTATTAAGATTATATTGGTATTTGGCAAACATATTTAGTTTATAATATTTTATACAAATGTAAATTTTAAAGTTTATACAATTATAACCTTCAATACAAATGTAAAAATCAGGAACGGTGTTCACATCACACAACTTTTACTTACAATCCTACTTTGAGTAAAAATAGGTCCTTTTGTCATTTTATGTTTAAGGCTCGTAACATCTAGGTCAAGAGCAACTGATTAATAAAATAATACTATTATTAAAATATTTAGCTGGTAGAAACATCTTACATAGGGAACTGAAAGTAAGAATCATAGACGGTACAACATATTATTTAAAATAACTAATCACTTGAGTTCTGTATGATCAAGAGAGGAAGAGTTTATTTTTATTTATCGATGGTGTTTTTGATCGGCAAGCCATATCATCGTTAATTCTTCACCAAATCTCAAGATTGAGCCACCAATTTCGAAGGCTTCCTTCTCCTTCAGGTGGGCAAAATAGTCCAATCATCCCGAAAATTCAGGCAAACAAATCATGAAAAAGAAACTTTATTTGCGAATAACTAAAAAATTGCACTTTTCCCTTGGTTGTTATATAAAAGATTACTAAATTCCCTACAAAAGGAAAAAGAAATTTTTAGCAATGATTCAGCTTATTGAAATTTGTAAACATATTGGTTCCAAACATATGTTTTCCCATTCGTCTGATCTATTAAATTTATGCGTTTTTTGACACTAACCATTTTCTTTTACAACTATATTTATTAATTTTTACCTTCACTTACCTATATATGAAATATGAGGAGGCCCAGTCTTGGTAACGGGATGCAGCGCCATTTATGTATGTATGTATATATGAAATATATAGTAAGGGACAGTATTGCGATCGTGAAAATTTTTGAATCTGAGTTTTCAACAGAAATACAAGTTTTGTGGTACCCTGAGTCCAAATAATTAAGTCCCGAAAAATGGTCTGTGTGTGTGTATGTTAGAAGTCTAGCTCAAAAACGAAAAGTCGTACGAAACTGATATTAGGTATTTAAGATAGGTATATGCCTTAGATGTGACAGCAACATTTTCCTTAAAATCGGCTAACCGGAAGTGCCACTTTGTATCAACAGTGAAATACATTTTTACAATTATCTCAAAAACGGCTCTAATGATTTTGATTAAACTTGGCGTATCATTGTATAATTAAATAGTCTTTAATATCATTCAGGTCGTATCCCTATTGATGTCACTTTACAGGGCTTAAATGTATAATGTTCATATAATTTTTCCTCTAAAGTACCTTTAAGTTGGTTTATTTTTAAAAAATAACTCTCTCTTACTGACAGTAACTGTAAAGAATTATTAAATATAACTTTTAAAAGAATTTGATAGTTGAATAAAAGAGAAAAAAAGAAAAGTGCTTATCCAGATCGAAAATGAATCTCCGGAAATAATAGTCAGAAGGTATAAGTATAATATAATATACGGAAAGTGGAAAAGTTAAAAAAAAATAATATCAAATAAATAAAGTTGTAGAAGGAAACGGAGAGTGACGAAAAAAATATAAATAATAATTTCAGAAAACTAACATTATTTAACCTAAATCACATGTTTCCAAGGAAATTAAATGAAATTTTCTTACTAAATGTAAACTGTTAAATTTTTTCTTAGTTTAAAAAAACATGTCTTTAAAATCTACTGAATCAAGCCAATGCCATTGTTTAAAATACTATTTCATTGTACTTGTGTGAAAGAAGAAGTGAGATATAAAAATATTTCATGGATATGTTTATAACCTTAAATACATTTACTGTAGTTTAAAAACTCTATATATCATATTATATTTAAATAATTAGGTATTTATCGACCGTTTATACCAAAAAACTATCAAGTAAACTTTTAGGAAATTAAATTAGTAAATAATTTGATGAATCGTCCCTTTGTGAAATCCCAACATTATCCAGTTACAATTAGTGTGACAACTTTTAACCTATCCATGGTAGGCAATGAAAGTCTCATAATTTCATATTAGTAAACTTTATAGTGGAAAATAACTAACAGTCCTACAATCCATAATCATTTATAGGTTAAATATTCAGATGTACTTTTAAATGACTCTTGGCATATATGAGTCTTTCGATTGACAGAATGACTAACTCCAATTTCAACATTATTATTAATTTTAGTGGCAAAATTTATACCTTTATTCAGTTTTTGTTCAAAACTGCTATCACCTACTCTGGAATCGACTTACTCACTGTCTGTATAGTTATAACTTTTCTAACTAGAAATATCACTAAAATTACAGTACTAAAAAATTTTGAAATTGGAGTTAGTCATTTTGTCAACTGAAAGGCTCAGAGACTGAAGTTATGTGGTTTAAAAAAGAAGATGGAGTACCTAGATTTTTATTGCCTACCATCGATATAATAAATAGACTTTTTGTTATTTTATTTAATGGTCTTAATTTTCTGTTATTTGTAAACTTTAAGCTTTAGCTCCGTTTAAACTCCACTTCAAAAATTTTACAATAGCCCATCATTGCCAGAAAATAATTTCTATTCAAAGCAGAGCAGTAAGTGAAAGTTGTGTGTTGCGCGCACCAGATTTTTTATTTAATTACAATAAATAATTATGAGCCACAAATTTTTTTTAGTCTGACAAGAGTGTCAGGAGAGGTTCGATATTCATAAGTATATAATATTGGATCACTATCTAAATATGGCAGTGACTATGAAGAAAAAGCTAATTTGAAATTTATTCTTTAAATGATAAATATTATTTCTTAAACGTAAAATTTTTTTCTTCCAGAACAATTATTGGTACTCATCTGAATATTTAAAAAATATACATTTTATTTTACTTTGTATCAGCATTTTATTTGGAAGGTAGTTTCCCTTGTCTTAAAGAGATCAAAGCAAACTCAAACTTATAAAGAGAGATCTTGGAGTTCCTCTAGTTGCAACATTCGCAGAGAGGAAGTGGTCCTTATCCTGCTAGAGATCGCACATTCAAGATTGACCCACCTCTACCTCATCACTAAAGTTGTATCACCTAGATGCCGGAATTGCAATAGTATCCTGTCTATAGCTCACATTTTCCAACATTGCCCTGTTTTACAGTCGCAAATTAAATGATATAGGATGTCATAAAACATAGCAATAGCCTTGTGAAACGACTATAATAGATCTGACAAAATAATAGCATTTACAAACAGTGTAAATTTAATGAAAGAATTATAATAGTTTTTATTTCTTTCTTTTTAGGCCATCAAACAAACGTATTGCAGTTAAAGTTTTTTAGTTCAAACATAGTTAAACCATTCCTTAAGTAATTTTTGAACAAAGTATAGATGGCCTAAGAAATTCCTCGAGGTTTATTGGATATCATTAATCTCAGCCTAAATTAATCCCTGTAAATTCATAGAATCGACTTTAGAGATAGACTTATTATTTGTTTGGGAGTGCAATAGCTAGGTGATAGAACCCTGAGCTTACCATTCCAAGGTCCCAGGTTCAAATCCTGGCTTATAGCAGATAAATTATTTATTCTGTTTCATCGGCTGTGAATCGACTTTGGAGTTGTGAGAGCCTCCTGCGACACATCCAGCCTCTATAAAGTGGGTACCCTTAATTAAATACGGGAGGAAATCTATTGGTTGAATGTGATCATGGTCAAATCACCACCTTACATAACTGTTGACCAAGAAACAGTACCTTCCCTACATAGTACTGAATCCAAGAACCACTGATGACCTACATGTTTTGGGCCTAAATCATCAAAGTAGCCAACCAACCCTCATGTTGAAGGAAAAAAATTAACCAAAAAACGGGTTTTGAAAAAAAAAACATCAATAAATGTGATACTATTTTATTTGAATGTCAATATATTTAATTTTGAGAGTGTAAAAATTCTTAAAGAAATTCAAATGTGATAACTTTATTAAATGAACCGTTAGAAATTGAAGTTGACTACTATTTAATAAAAATATCAAAACACTTTACTTAATTTATCAAGGAAAATAAATAAAACATTTTAAGGGCATTGATGTGAACACCTTTAAATACAAATATATTTTGATAACCAGAGTGAAAAAAATTATGTGGTAAATCAAAATAGACCATAATGGCTGATATTCATAGAGATGAAAATAATTTAAATGTATTTTATATATGCAAAGGAGTTTAAAAGTTAGAAATAAATGAGAATAACTAATCAAATGAGAGAAATTCAATGATTCGTAGGAGTCAAAATATTTTAATTGAAAATACTTAATCTGACTCGAATTTAATAAGAAATTTGTAATAATATATAAAATTTAAGTTAACTTCCAACTCTACTTATTTTTATCTAAGTTTCATAGATAGTTAAAGAAGAAATGGAGTTTAAAAAAGAAAATAGAATAATAGGTTTGAACAGAATAGTAGGAAAAAATTAGAATCATTGTTAAAAACTGAAATAAAAAAGTGATAAAACTGAATATTTGTTAAGAATCCCAACATTATTTGGAATCGTGATCCAAGAGAACAGACTTAGAGCCTTTCTGGAAAAGGCTAAGTGTGATTTGCAAGGATTTATTATAATCCTTCAATCACATATTCTTAAAAGGTCCTGGGAATGAGAGTCAAGTCCATCCACCAAGAAATGCCAACAGTAAATCAAAAAACTGTTTTAATCAATGTTTAACAATTATTGATAACAATACAACAAAAAATCTAAACTTAATTTCATCACAATATGTTGTGCAAACATATAAAATAAAAAATACAATTAACATATTAATTACCATACTTATCTCCCAATTCATTTGTAAAAACGGGAACATCAACTTCATCCTCAGTTGTGTAGAAATGAATGATATTTCCAACATTTGTCCCTACCAGAATGCTCTTCATATGTTTTTTTTCATTACAATCATAATCAGGAGCCAAATTCATGCTCAAAAATTGTAAACCCCATTTTCTCCTAAACAATACATACAAATAACTATTACAGTTGATCAAAAAAGTATTGACACACTCTAATTTTTTTTTTAAATATCAATAGGATTAAAAAATTTTCCATAAATAATATTTATTTAATAAAGTAGAACTCGGGAATTAGATATTAGAAACAGTGGAGTTTTGGATTTCAAATGCTATGTTTAAAGTAAACATAAAGAGAAAATTCTGAGGGTAAAAAAATAATTCAGTTTTAAATGTTCACTATTATTTCCAGTCAAACCAAATTAATCATTTTTCTTTCTAGAGATAACAAACAAGGATTAACAATAATACAATAAAAATCAGTATTTAGTATATATTTGCCATAATGACAATATTAAGAATGCCGAACAATGTGACGACATTTTGTGACATAAATTAAAAAGTAGTGCCAAACAGCTGGGGATCAAAGATACATTTCATCATCTGACAGGACAATAACAACAAGCACACAGCAAATAAAACAAAAAAATGGTTGCTGTATAGTCACTGGACATAAATGCCACAAAACACCTATGCTACTTGTTGGATTTGAAAATGAGAAAAAATGAAATTTCTTACAAAAATAATTTAAACGAAACTTTGTTAGAGAATTGTAAAATTGGACAAGATGCAACTCAAAATCTTGTTTCGTCGATGTCAAGAATGTATTAAATATGTGTCAATCCATATCAAATCAATCAGTTTAAAAACAATTTTGAACCTATAAGTCTTATAGATTTCAATAATTTTTTTGTTATTTGTTACATGCATTAATGTAAAAAAAAAATGACAAAATTTTAATTTGTTGTACTCCTTTGAATAAACTTACACATAAGTAACATTTAAGTAAATAAATTTATGCATAAATTAGTAATTAGTAAACCTTTCAGAATTGTTTGCCCATCCTCAGAACTTGCCGCATTATATTACAATTGGATTTCTAATTGGTATATGAGATTCTTTGTAAGTGCTATATTTTTCATTTTTTAACATAAATATTATCTGGGACAACGCATTTCTTGCCACACAAGTGCTTTGCTTTAAGGTGTACTTCATAAATTACTTTCAGAAGTCTCTTATAATAATTCTCAAAAGATTTGGTATCGCATTTAGAGAAAGTATGAGAGAATAGTTGTCGCCCAGTCCCTGAGTTTAAAGTTTCATGACAGAAAATAAATATTGCTCTTTGCTTAAAGGGTCTTTATTGTTATGATGCATGGTTTCCCTGATATAAGTGACAATTTGTAAAAAGTGAACTTTTGGATACCTCCTTTCGTCTCCCACATCCAGCTCACCTCCCCAGAGTGGGGGGTTTTAGTATGTTTACATCTTAACTAGTTGGAACTATTATATTCAAAAGTCAAATTTGTGTTCCTTCCATTACCCTTTATAGCCCGTTTTTGAGAACTCATTGACTGGACTAAAAACCTGCTTAGTTATTAATGATTGGTAAACAAATAAGAATATTATTCTAATTTTAAAATTAGAAAAATAATAAAGAATAAATTATTCTATTTTGAAAAAAAAAATGCATTCTATCTTCTAACAAACAATTTTATAATTGTAAGTATCTTTTATCTATAAAGTATAAATATCCATTACTGTTAAGAGCAAGAGTCTCCAACCATTTAAAGTCAAATTGATTGCTAAACTAAGTCCTAACCAAGAGTCAAAATCTTGCTTGCTAGCTAATTATCATATCTACGCACACATATTATTAATTACAGTTAAAATGTTTAGTTCCTTCTGAAAATCAGTTATTGTGTTTCTTAATTGGTTGTCAAATTTCGTATGGTTTATTACAATGTAAATTTTATAATTCGGCCACTGTTTGGAGACTTCCTATTTAAAGTTATATTTAATTGTTACACATATATGTATATATATTTAATATCTGACAAAAATTCTTACTCTGAATCAGGCAAAATACTATTTGGATTTAATGTCTTTCCCATAACTAGTTTAAACTTTCCCCAATGAGATATTCCATAGTCAACCTTATCAAAACTATAATCAGTCCTCTCTAAAGCAGACAATGTAGGAGTAACAATCCACAACACCACTATGCCATCTGTATCCAAAGTAATGATCTAAAACAAGTTCAAAATTAAAATCAATAATTATTTCTTCAAGTTTTTAATTACCAGTTGAATATTTATAACTTAATATTTTAATTTATTGCAAACAAATACTGATAGACAATTTTTCATTAGCTATTTACAACAATTTTGAATATAAAAAAATGTATATACACAATATTTCTCTAATTCTTCTTCGATGTGTACTACTTATTTTCAAGTTTATTTATTATCAGCCATTTTATTACTCCTATTTTACTAATCTGTTAATTTTCTTGATAAACTAAATGATATATCAGATAAACTGCAATTCACTATGAAAATTGAGAATAACAACAAAATAAGATATCTTGATATGTATATTGACAGAAGCGAAAGTGGGGATCTTAGCACGACATGGTGCAAAAAAACAGTAACCAGCAATAGAATCCTAAACTGGCACAGCAACCACAAAAAACATATAATAATTAATACAGCTAAAAATTTAATAGAAAAAGCAAAATTAATAACCGATAAAAATCATATGAAAGAAATCAAAACACAAATATATGAAATTCTATTAGAAAACTGGTACCCCATTCGATTAATAAATAAATTGTGGTATAAAAATAAAAAGTTGATTAAAAATGACAATAGTAACAAAGCGATAAAAGATATTAGTGATGATGAAAGCAAGAATGAAAACCAAAATTAATAAAGAACCGAATTTAATAACAAATTATTTTAAAACCAAAAATGCAGTAAAACAAAAACCTTCCTTGAACGATATACATGACATTAAAATACAAAATGAAAAATATAATAAAAACAAACAACAACCTAAAAAATATTTTAGCGTCACATATATTAGAAATTTAACGGATAAAATAGAAAGAACATTTAAACAATATGATGTAAATGAAATTAAATTTGCAATCAAACCTATAAATAAAATAGATACAATTTATTCCAAAATTAAAGATAAAATAACCACCGATAAATTAACGAATATTATTTATAAAATAAATTGTAAAAATTGCAACAACAAATCATATTTTGTACAGACATCACAATGGTTTGAAAAAAGACTTAAACAGCACAAACAAAATTGTAATTCAAAAAACACAAAAATTAAATTAGCTATTGGGCACTCTCAGCATACTATGCAAATAAAACATGAATTTGATTTCAAAAATGCCAAAATCCTGCATAATGAAAGTAATATGAATAAATGTAGGATAAAGGAAGGAATATACATAGCTAAAAATTTAAAAAACTCTGTAAATAATCATACAGACGTGGTTAATATGAATACATTTTACGCGAGTTCGATTAAAAAAATAAAATTATGAAGTGAATTAGCTAATTTTACTTAAAATAGGTCCATAGATAATATTGGGAAACATCATTGTATATGCTGAAAATAAATAGTCTTCCCCTACTCCTTTAAGAATAACCAGCCACTGAATAGAAATGAGACTGATGACATGTCGGTGACACATGATAAGGTAATTTTAACTTATTGGATCATTTAATAATAAATAATTGAGTAATAATAAATAATTGAGTAATAATAATGCTATAAAATAATTAAAGGTGGACATGACAAAAAAATAAAATAAAAAAATTTTATTATGAGTAGACGCATGCAATTCGCATAAGTGAAAAGGACAGGTACATGATTGGTATTTTAGGTATATAAAAAGAATCTCTATATGTTGAAGTATGTAATGTTTTAAATATGGTTGTAAATTGTAAACATTTTTTTAGACTTGAAAATGGCTCAACGAGCCGAAATGTCGTAATTAGATGTGTAGTCATTAAGTTGACAAAATTTTGAAAATTGGTGTAAAATGGCTGATAATAAATAAACTTGAAAATCTATATAATTGTTAATCACAAATCATTCTAAAAATTTTATAAATATTTTTACCTGAGTGGGATTGAATTTTTGTGATGATAACTTTCCATAGCTTTCATAACCAATTGATTTTATCGAAACTATTACGTTATGATGATAGTCTTTTCCAGCTAAATGGGCTTGGATCATAAAAAAGAAGGAGAAAAATGTAAATAAACTCATCACTACAAACAAAATGAGATATTAGAAAAAAACAAGTCAAACTCTTTAAATAAATTAAACTATGCAAAATGAATAAGCTATTCAAAAATTATTAATAGCAAAAATTATTAGAACTAGTTTCTACTTGTAAATAGTAGAATTAACAGCTACTAATTGCTACATTTCTGACAATCTACTTTTCTAAGTTGGGCAGAGGGTTCCAAAAGTAGCATTTATTTGTATTATTTATTATATTTCTATAATGTATTTTTTTTTCTATCAGTTCTGGAAGGGAATTATGTATTTAAAAGCTAAATACCATAGAAACCCCTTTGCTGTGATATACTAAACTGATTTATAAGTCAGATCGGATATCTTTTCCAAGGGTATCGTGTTATCAATTTACTGTGTGTATTTATAGATATGAATAGTGGCATGCAAGGAAAAATGCTAAGAATCAAGATCTAAACAAAAAAGGGTATAGTTGTGAGTTTAATCATAAAAATTAAATATGAAAATCTTGCATGGAGGATGCTAGTGCACGTAGGACTAATTGTTATATTATTTTATTGATTGCCAAATGTACAAAGGCAATCTCTAAATCCAGCACTTATGACTTGAACAAATGGAAAATACAGATTCTTCTTTCATAATACTAACATAGAAGCCATTTCACTCGTAGCAAGTTGTCAGTTTAAGTTTCAAGTAGTTAGTAAATAATTAGACAATGCTTCATTGGTTCAGTCATCATTAGGACTGCATTATGTACTACATGGTTGTAACATTATAAAAAAGAAGTCTATTTAACTTAGGTTTTTCTAAGTTCTAATACAGGATCTAAAAAATGTTAGTGCAGTTAAACAGTAAATAAGTATAAGAAAGAAGTTCCCTAAAAAAAAAAATGATTGAAAATGTGGAAATGATGACAAATAATTTACTAAAAATATAATCCGATAAATAGTATCCATAATAAATTTGAGGCTCTTCTAAACTTGAATGGAAATATCCAACAACAGGATGAAACATGGCTACTGATATTATGGATGTCATATATGCTATATTTTTCTTTGAGTAAGCTTCCTTATTCATACACCTGTCTTCTTAAGGCATGCCCATAAAAGTAATCTCTTCATGAAATAAGCTTATTCAGAAATAATTGCATTACACCTTCAATTAAATGAGTCGACGTATGGCAAAATACATAATCCTGCTGGAATTAAGGTTCTTGAATAAAATAGTTGCAAAGATGATAGGCCAAGAATTTTGAAAAACTTTGAGGTCATGAATTTGGGCTCAAGGATTGTCATACTCATTAAATGCTTTCATTGAGTCATCAAGCAAACAAGAATCATTTTGATTTTTAATGGTTGATTATGTTGATGCTCAAACCTTTTTTTTTTTTCATATGATTTGGCAAGAACGTGAATCATTAAAAAATATTTAAAAAAAAATATTTTATTACCAAAGCCATTATTTAATTTGTTAATCTATAAAAATGAAAAAAATTACTTATGGACAATATAAAAGATTCTGACGTTTCAAAAGAAATCCACATAATTTCAACGTTTTGCTATTAAACCAGACTTTATTGATTGGTACAGTAAGTTTAAGTTAATGTAAATTTATAAACACAAGTCATGCTCCTATAATGTTTGGGTAAAATTTAGGAAATTAGGAGCTCTAATTTAAAACTAAAAATATAATATGAGAATAATTAGGTTATTTGAATTCTAATAGAGGAGAATAAACAAAAGAGGTCTGCTCTTGATACATACAGGTGCAGAAAGTCGGAGTTCTAAGCAAATATTCCATTGAGCCTGCAGTTGATTCTTTGTGATACATACTGGATTCATTCAGATCCCACAGGCACACTGATCTAGAAAAAAATTATAAACAATTAACAACTTACAATTTATTTAATATAATCAAATGTAGGACAATATATTTTCATTACAAATGAGAACACAGCTATGTATAAGATTTAATCAAGATAAATAATAATACTTAAAAATCAAATATGAACAAAAAAATGTATTTAAATATTTCCTAAAAAAATCAATAGTTTGAAGGCTAAGAATCTTATTTCATATGACTTATGAACAACTAATAAATATAATGTTTTCTATATTTAAAGTTTTCGAATTGTTTATTAACATATAAGAGTTTAATTTAAAAAAACTAAATATAACCAAGCAATGAGCTATTGAGAGGCTGCTGAATAATATATCTAGTAAAAAAAAAATTAATAAGAAATAAAATGATAATACCCATCAGTAAGGCCTGCATAAACAAAGTTATCGTACTCTGAATCAAAAGTAACTGCACAAATCTGGCATGAAGCAACAAGTAAATGTAGTGGTTGAGATGGCTGAAGCATATTCCAGACACACAAAATACTTCTTCCAAAAAACTGATCATTGAAAGAAGGTAATTTTTCAATCTAAAATTAAATAATGATAATCATTAACAATTTTAAGATAAACGTTGATAGTTAAATGAATAAATTAAATGTTCATAGTTAAGTGATCAAATTAAATGTTGATAATCATAAACAATTTTAACAGAATATGACAAATTATAATTACATCTTGGGCAAATCTGTGTGAGGATACAAAGATATTAGAATCATGTGGTGAAAAAACTATATCACAGATAGGTCGCTCGTGGAGAAAAATTAATTTTTCAGTTTGCATAGAAATACAGCCAGCACTAAACCCGAGGTCATTTTTGGGATCAGCAATAGACATATTTTTTTCATTTGACCTCCATCTGGCTTCTTCTTCCAACAAAATTAGTACAACCTACCACATAGAATTAATAATGATTAAAAAAATGGTATAAGGAGATAAAATTATTTTTAGTTATTATCATGAAGATGAATTCAGAAGAAATAGAGATAGCAATACTGAAACATTACATCTAACTGCGATCAATAACAAGCCCCACCTTTGAAGTAGAATCAATGAAATTGTACAACTTCTTTACATTATATTTTGTGTTCCACCAGGATTTGTAATCAATGGTGAGATTATCTCCTCCATATCCCCTTTGGTCCTGTGTGAACAAATTATAAAAATTAATCCGTGAAAATATACAATTAAAGAAAAAAAAAGTGTATAACATAAAATAAACATTTTTCACAATATATCCTATACCATAAGTGTGGAACCTTTCTATTAGAGGCTGCAGACAGTAAGGTTAGGCATTTCTAATGGAGACCACAATAATTGTTTATATTTTATCGTTGCTATTTTTATTTATCACTAAATACACACACTTACATATTAGTCCAGTCAATGAATGCTCGAAAAAGGGGTTTAGAAAGAAATGGTGGGGATACAATTTTTGACTATGAGACATTGTTTGGACTATTAAGGAGGTAAAAATACTAAAAATCTCCACTCCTAGGTTGTGAGCCAGATGTCGGGGGATGCCTAGTAGGTCACTTTTATCAGGAAAACTATCCATCGCATCGACAAAGATGTTCTATACAAAATTAAAGCTGATAAAATTTGAAATTGAATGATTAAATACATTTTTTCGATACCTTGCTTAGTTTCCGAGATATCCGTTCTCAACTATAGCTAATTTTGAAAAAAAAAATTTCTCTTGCGTTTATTGCTGTTTTTCGAGTTTTCACTTATATCAAGAAAACTATCCATCACATCAACAAAGACGTTCTATACAAAACTAAAGCTGATACAATTTTTAATATGATTGATTATATATCTTTTTTCACTATTTCGCTTATTTTCCGAGATATCCGTGCTTAACTATCGCTAATGTGGAAAAAAAAAATTGTTTTTTACCTCGTGTTTTTACTATATTTAACTAGCTAACTCTTGATTGGTTCGTTTTACAATTAAGTCATGAGAAAGAAAGTTTTTAACAGTTAGATTTTCTTCAATAATACATATTATTTTGCTTGTTTATGTTAAATAGTTCAAGAGTTAAATCAGATAACTTTATATTCTGATTCCGAGAAATTGCAGAAAAAAATAATAAACATTATTGAATATATTTATACATACATATATACAAAGAGATTTAGGTGATTAGAGAGTTAGAGCAATATAATAATAATGAATATTATAAAAATTATTTTTTTCAGCAAATTCTTGGAATCGATGTTGAAGATAAACTAGTAAAATAATATATATTATTGAAGAAAATTTAATTATTAAAAACTTAATCGAAGCAATCAAGAGTTAGCTAGTTAAATACAGTAAAAACATGAGGTAAAAAATATTTTTTTCCACATTAGCGATAGTTGAGGACAGATATCTCAGAAACTAAGTGAGATAGCAAAAAAAGATATATAATCAATCATATTACAAATTTTATCAGCTTGTATTTTGGATAGAACATCTTTGTTGATGTGATAGATAGTTTTCTTGATATAAATGAAAACTCAAAAAACACTAATAAACGTAAGGCAAAATTTTTTTTCTTCAAAATTAGCCATACTTCAGGATGGATATCTCGGAAACTATGCAAGATAGTGAAAAAATGTATATAATCAATCAATCATATTGCAAAGTTTATCATCTTTGATTTTGTATAAAACATTTTTGTTGATGCAATGGATACTTTTCCTGATATAAGCGAAAACCCGAAAAAGTGACCTACTAGACTCCCCCTGACATCTGGTTCACCGCCAAGGAGTGGGGGAGTTTTATGATGGTTACCTACTTACTAGTCTAAACAACATCCCAAAGTAAAAAAAAAAAGTGCTATTTCTTTCTATAATCATTCATTGATTGGACTATACATACATTCAACTTTTCTATTAATTTCCAAATTATTGTTACTTAAATAATTAAATATTAATTAATTCTAGTGCTAGATTAATAAATATCACACAAAAATGTTTGGAGGCCGTATATGCACTCTGAGGTCGTAACTAAGTCACAGAGACCACATGCGGGCTCCGAGGCCGCAGTCCCCCATCTGTGTCCATTACAATATATTTTTAAGAATAGGAAACTACAATAGTAAAAAAAGAGGAAAGATGCAAGACAAAGGTATTAAAATTATAACTCTTCATGGAAATTAAGACATATGTATTTTGCATCACATAACAAGATATGTCCTTTGAAAAAAACAATATGATAAATTAAGGGAAATAAAATAAATAAATGGGGGTGATAAATAAAATAAATAAACGGGGTGATAAATAAAATAAATTAAGGGGACATAAATAAATTAAGGGCATCTCATTGATTACAACTTTATAACAGAATGAGGTGGGAAAAACATACTTTAAACATAATATTACCTCCATAAATTCAATGAAACTGAAAGATGTGCTGGTCCAAGAATGATAACTTATCGGATATTGGGTCCACATATTTTGGAACAATATATCATTTGTTTGCGAAGATTCTTCATTCGATATTGACTTTGTTTGAGAGAAAACCTAAAATGAATTAATATTACGTTACCTGAGATAATTCCATATAAATAAAAAACATTTTGCATCAATTATAAAACTAATTAATAACATGTTATAATAGATAATATAAGATTATTAAAATAAATTTTGATGAATAACACATGTAAATGTATTAAAGGTTTCTTAATACTCTTATAAATCCATATATCTATATACTTTTATATACTATATTATAAGTTACTCTACTGTAATATATTTTTACTTTCACTTACCGAGACATGAAATATATAGTAAGGGAAAGCATTTTATCATAAAAAATTTCATATATAGAAATACATGTTTTAAGGTCCTTGAAATCCAAATGACCAGGTTTCGCAAAATAGTCTGTGTGTATATGAAAACAGCCAGGCTCAAACATGGAAAGTTGAAGTTTTTTTCCTGAAATTTACTTAACAGAAGTGCAACTTTGATTTTACACATATTAAAAAAAATAATCAAAGATGTCTCATTGTTAATAGTAATACAAAATGGACAAATTTGAACTATGAAAGAATTTGATAATTAACTAAAGGAGAAAACGGGAACAATATTTTTGCATGATGAAAATAAATTACCAAAAATAGGAGTAGTAATATAAGTCATGAATATAGAGTTGGGTAGTTAAAGAGTTTAGAAAAATTAATATCTAACATACAATGTCATAAAAGCTAATGGAGGGTAATTACTGCAATCAATTATGCTTAATTTTATAAAATTGAATGGGAAATAAATGTTTCTATGGAAAACACAAACCAAAAATATATTGTGCACAGAATTTTCATATCTCATATTAATTGTGGTAAGTTTGTAATTATAATTAAAATAATTCGTTTAAGATTTATTAATTTTTCTAAAAATTAAACTTTTTAAATTTTACTAATCTTGAATAAAAAATAGGGAAATAAACAATGAAATAATACAATTTAAACTAGTAAACTAGAAAATAAAATAAAACACCTGCCAAGTAAGGTCAGCATAGCTCCTCACCATTTTCATTGGATAAACAACATTTATATTTCAAGGTTTATAATTTTTTTGTATGAGAATAAAATCATCAGAAGAAGCCGTTATGGGAAATACAATAATTTCTCAACAATTTCAGGGTTGTTGTCCACAGATTTTTTTCACCAGCAAATATTAAAATGAGGAAGTTTCACATTTTCAAATTGCAAATTTGATGATTCGTGATTAAATAAATAAAAAATCCCAGTACATACAATAAAAAAGGTTTTCTTTAGCAAAAATAGAACATAAATGGTAACATTTTATGTACGATCTTTTGCACTAGCAGTAGCGTTATATATTTAATATGATATGTCTTCACTCGTAAAATGAATGGATTGAAAAGTCCATAGGAAAAATTCAACTTTTTGTTTGTTCGGAGTCAATAAGACCAATATTTTTCTTCAGTCAGAAGAAATCTAATTAAGCTGGGATATAAAAATATGTTTGAAGTTCACACAACTTTGATATTTACGAAGGAAATCGAGACCACGACGAGCTGGTTGTACTTCAATAGAAATAAACACAATCAAAAATACAACTTTTTTTTTCAAAGTCAGAGTAAAAATTAATTTAAATTTACTGAAAATTACACAACATTTAAGTAACGGCAGTAAGGTTTGGAATCAACCAAAAAATACAGTATAAATTAATTTTTTGAATAAAACCTCAAATTTAATAACCCCATAAAAATATTGTCTTAACCTAACTCCCATTCCATATGAGGCATTGCGAATACGAAGGGTGAACTCAAGAAACCTGAATATTGAGAAAACCCCAGTTAAATTTCTAAACATAGAGTCAACAAGTCGTAGTACTGTAAAACTTCATTTAACCATCACTCATTAAATGAGATGATGATTAAATTACGATTAATTTTATCCTTCAGTTTCTATTAACTGTCACTACAGTAGGATTAAAAAAATGTATCTGATCACACCGCCTCATATGATAAATGGGTTCCACATTTCACAGCCATTATATTTTCAACAATTATTTATATTAATTTTAATTATGAAATGGAATTCAATGAAAGTGAAACTATGTAATTTCTATATTTTTCTCTAAATTTCATCCAAGTTAGGGCCAAATTCAAGTTTTTAAACTATTGGTATGTCAAATATTACTTTTCCTGATCTGAAAGCGGAAGTTTTTTTTTGGGGGGGTAGTGGATAGAATTTGATAAAATTCATACGTAATTGATTATCTGTTTACCAATCTCTAACTTCCCTCCAAATTTGAGCCAAATCTAACATGCAGTTTTAGAGATATTTAGAGAGGCTCCTTAGAAGCGAGAGGTGTGTCACCGAATCTTACAAATGTCATATCAGCTCTCCTTAGCACGAACACCATAAAGATTGGCAACGGTGTCCATGCAACTAGCCAGATCAAAGTGCTGCGCGGTGTACCCCAAGGCGGCCCCCTGTCATCTTCACTCTTCAACCTGGCCATCGATCATCTCTACCGCGACCTGTGTGACGAGGACTTTTCCAAGAAATTTGGATACAAATTAAGGAATGAGCAGGATTGTGTGGTCCTCACAGGTTTCGCGGATGACCAGGCAGTGTCGGCGCGTGACAAGGGGGCTGCAGAAAGAGTGATTGACAGCATACAAAGAACATTTAAAGAAATTGGTCTGGTTATAAATCCTCAAAAAAGTATGGGCATCGTTATAAATAAAGGAGAGCTGGAAACGACGGTGCTCTCCCTTGAGAATGATGAGTACATCCAAACATTGAAGAATGGAGATACGATTAAGTATTTAGGATGTACATTCTCGGGAGAGCTGCAATTCAACGAAGATTCGGTGACTAAATTGAATGATAATCTAAACAAGCTGGTAACCTCTTGCTTACTTAAACCTGAGCAGAAACTCAACATCGTCAATCAATATCTGTTCCCGGGTCTTACTTACCCTCTCCAAACTGCGCCCCTAACAAAGCTACGTCCTGCTATACTGGAGGGCATCGACACTATGATTCGCAGGAGCGTAAAGGCCATTATTGGACTCCCTGCGAATACTTCCACAGCGATGTTATATGCCCCCAGGAGATACCGAGGATTGGGATTAATCCGCTGCCAATGGGAGGCTCCTCTTCAACATTGGTCCATTGCTCAGCGACTGTCCAATGTACCAGATGCCCTTTTTCAGTCTACCTTCGATTATTCGGCTGAATGTGCCGAGAGATTGGGGGTTGATCAGGGTCATCGAAATGTGAAAGCTCTACGGCAGTCGCTATGAGAAAATGCATTTGAGAAATGGGCCAACTGCAGGTGGCAGGGTATTGGTGTTCGCCATTTTAAAGAGACCCCGAAAGCGAATAGATACATCTACGAAAAGCAAGTACTTTCTGGGTCTGAATGGTCGAATGCCCTAAAACTAAACATTAATTATGCACCCCTGCGTGGAGTCCCAGAAGTCAGCGGACAGGTCAGAGAAGTTGGGTCCCTCTGCCGTAAATGCGGCAGAGAGTCTGAAACACCAGCACATGTGCTGGGAAAATGCCCCAACAACTCCCTCCTCATAACACGTCGTCACCACCGGGTCAAGTTCGAGTTGATGAGGCTCCTTAGAGAAAAAAAATTCACCTGCTTTGACGAGGTATATTGCATCGATAGTGAAGGCTCTACGAGATACGCTGATATCGTCGCATTTCCCAAGACAGGAAGGACAGCGCTGATCTTGGATCCAACTGTCCGCTTTGAGAGCAATGACCTCGATCAGGCGGGTGAAGTGGAAAGGGAAAAGAAGAACACGTACGATAAATGTATCCCTTTCCTAAAAGAGAAATTCCGTGAGACCTTCGGAGAGAGAGAGTTCACCGTGAGAGGCCTCTGGTTTGGGTCTCGCGGAACTATCCCAAAAAGAACAAGGAGCTTCCTCGAGGAACTAGGTGTCAACATTAAGGACGTAGCGAGGTTGGCTGAAAATATAGTCCTCGACTCCCTGGGAATCATTCACCACCACGTGCATGGCTAGCCCGAGAGTTTTAATTTATGTATTTGTTTATTTATTTATTTAGTGAATTATTGAAAACAATAGCGATAAAGAGAGAGAAGTGAGAGAAAGGGAAACTTAATGTTAAATAAAAAAAAAAAAAAAAAAAAAGCATGAACAATGAGAAGGAAAAAGGAAAAAAAAAAAAAAAAAAAAAAAAAATATATAAAAATAAATAAAATAATAAAAATGTATATATATATATATATTTCTATTTTACTAATATTAACTAATACTTCTGTATATTTATATATAAGTTCATATATTGTCTTAAGGATAGAAGAGTATGCTGTGTATATAGCAACCCAATATAATTGGGCAGCAATCCTTTATATTTTATATTTTATGAAAATAAAGTGTTTCTCTCTGCATCAAGAAAAACAAGTTGGTTCATATATAAGGGCAAGTAGTCAACAGAATTTAATAAAATTGACGCTACATTAATTTTTCATCAATATATACCTTTTACCCAACTATGAGCCAAATGGAATGAGCCATTTCTGAAATATTGAAATCTACAAAAATACATACACAAACATGCATAAGCGGAAGTGCTGGATAGAATTTGATAATATTGAAATGGGACACTAACTCGAACAATCTCTGAAATTTTCATGAAAATTGGATATATGGTAGAAGGTGATATGCTCGTTACATTGATTTGACTACAGACAGACACCGAACCAAATTTGATCCTTGATGTCTGAAACGTAAAAGGTGACTAGAAATTTTCGATTCTGAGCCCAACATTTTTTTTAACCTCTCTCACGAATACAATGCTTCCCTACCTTCGGTAGTGAGGAAGAAAAAGATATTCCAATTTATTTATTAACCAAACAAAAAAACTGATTATGCAATGCAAATAATTCTATCCTTCTTAAGGGACAGAAAATAATACAAATTTACTTACAAATATAGGTGGCTAGTTAGTTAGCATCTATGAATATTAAAACTTGGTGAAGTATTTGGGTCCAAATGAAACTCAAAATTCTTCTGACAATGAACTAGTTTATCTTCTGTATATTTACAGAACATGTAATTCAAGGAGCTTTCTGAATGTATAAATGCATAGAATGAAAGAAAGAGATGAAACGTGTCATGTAAGACCCGAAAGTTCACCAAATTTCAATATTCATAGATACTAACAACCTACTTATATTTTTATATAGATATGTATAATTTGCCGTCCCTTAAGACAGAGTTATTTATGTAATCAGGTTATTTTTTAAATTAAAGTGAATTTTATTTATTTAAATTATTTTAACATTTTTAGTTTTTAACGTGTTAACGATTTATTTTCAAAACACATCACCACATGTTATCATTTCAAGCCAATTAAAATTAAGACTCCTAAACAATAATAAATATTTGTTACAGTATTTTGAGCTTAAAGTTTCAAAACATGAGAAAAATTGAGCTATCAAACTTAAAATTATTCCAGCTTTTCACACAAAAAATTATTATATACTTTTTAGAAAATTGATTAAACATATTTTATTCAACCACAGTTCAGTGTTTTGAGCTCAAATTCGTTATAATAGAATCAAAGGATCTCAATGAATAATTTCAGATAAAAAACTTAAAAATCAATCATTCCTTTGCTCAAAAAATCTTTACATATCTTTTATCAAATTAATTAAACCCATTTTATTCAATCACGGGTCAGTATTGTTAGACATTTTTTTTTTTCTAAAACACTTATTCCAAAAATGGGAGATATCACAGAATAATTTGAGTCATCAAACTTAAAAATCAACCAGCAGTTCACTCAAAAAATCGCTACATACCTATTATCAAATTGATTGAACACCTTCTATTCGGTCAGTGTTTTTAGCTCAAATTATTTTAAAACATTCAAGGAATTTCACGGACAACCCAAACCTTCGTGTCACTCCGCTTATTCAGGTAAAGTACTCGTAGTTTTAATAGTAATTATAATAAGTTTTTATAGTTTTATGAAATTAGATGTAAAAAATAATGATGCTTAATTTAAGATTTTTTTCTAAAAATGCTATATATATATATATATATATATATATATATATATATATATATATATTAACCTTCAGAGGTTAATTGCGATTAAGATATGTAAGGGCTATCGTACACTATCATTCGAGGCCACAATATTATTGGCAGGGCTGTTGCCAATCCAAATGAAGATTGAAGAACGAACGACCTTATATAACATTAGAAAAGGAAAGAGAGGATACAAAGATCTGACCCTAGACAAAATAGAAAGAATCACTGACTGTAAATCTTGGTTACACCCTGCAACAAGTTTATGGACTGGACCGGGAATTACTTCTGAAAATACTGATGTTTTCACTGATGGTAGTAAGGACGGCGAGAATGTTGGATGTGCATGGTTGTTCAGAGCTCAAGATGGTAGGAATATAGAACATCAATATAAATTAGAATCATATTGCTCAAATAATCAGGCAGAAAAATTCGCTGTTTTAAAGGTTACTGAATACATATATGAATACCCTCTACAAACGAATACTCACGTTACTATAAATACAGACAACAAAGTTCTGCTAGACTCTGTTAATAATTGGGACATTCATGATTACTTGACTGACCAAATTAGAAACAAATTGTTAATGATGAGAACTGTAGGGAAAGTAGTGACTCTAAAATGGGTAAAAGCACATTGTGGGATTGAGGGCAATGAACGAGCCGATTGCCTTGCAAAAGAAGCAGCTAAAAGCGATTTGCCGCCATCGTATCATCAAGCTCCTTTATCGTATATTAATATGAATTTAAAGTTGGATTTCATCAAAAGATGGGATCACATATGGGTGACCTCAGCTAAGTCACCAAGCTTACACAGATTTATACCACACATTTCAATTCACAATTACAGACACATTCACAGTAATGACTACAAACTTACGCAAGTACTTACGGAACATGGGAATACAAAACAATATCTTAAAAGATTCAACATTATACAAACAGACTTATGTGATGAAGACGGACAGGTTCAAAATTTTAAACATATAATATATGAATGTAAACGATTTGACAGACAGCGATTTGAGTTAATAAAAAGCATAATTATCAAAAGAGGAAATTGGCCTGAGACGGAACAAAAGTTATTTACTGAATTCAAGACAGACTTTCTTAGATTTATTAGATCGATCGACTTCGACTTACTAACCAGGGATGGGCAGCGTGGGTGATTTCTTTTTGGCTTTGTTGGATTGACTTTGTGTGTTTAATATTTAATTTTCCGATTTAATTTTTGTGTGTTTATTCTTTGTGTTTTTTTTTGTTAATGTATATAAATTTGAACTAAAAATGTAAATCATGTGAAACTAGAAAAAAAAAACAATTGTAAACAAATGTAATTCATGTAGTATGTCTTTAAGGCATGGAACATGAAGGAAAATCAAATAAACGATCCTTGTGTGGGGTTACCACGTAGAAAAAAAAAAAAAAATAAAAAAAAAATATATATATATATATATATATATATATATATATATATATATATATATATATATATACATACATATATATATATATATACATATAAATAAGTACTATAATAAGATAAATACTATAATTAAATTTAAGAAATATATATTAAAAGAAATACAACTTCCATTTTTTTCTATCTTAAAACATGCATAAACATTTACTATATTTAAACCCACATCCTCATGAATTCCAAACCACAAGTGTAGAATCTGGTCACTATAATTTTAATCATTTAGGACAGCAGTCAAGTGGAATTAAATAATGATCAAGCTAGAGAATTAAGATGGTAAAAAATATTTTGAAGGAATTTTCATAATTTCAAAGATATGAGTTTAAAACAAAAGATCCTAAGAGGTTATTCTTGTTTTTTTAAATCTGACTTCTAATACATCCAAATCAGAACTGTTAAACGAAGAAAGTTATCCTTACATAAGTGCTTAATAGATTATTTTAGAAGGAATAATGCAATAGCTAATTAATACAATCCAAAATAGAAAACATATAATTTGTATTTAATTAGCCTTCCAAGAATAAAATCGGGTCACTATGACAAAAAATGAATAAATACACTATAGTAAAGTAGAACTCACATGAGAAACATTTTTATTTTGATAAATATCTTCAAAAATATCGTCATCAGAAAATATGCCTTCAAATAAATCAATTTTTTGTTCATGCAAACTGATCATTTCAAGAATAATGGAACTCCTCAGCTTTTCCTTTTCAACCTGCCAATCATAAAGAATTATTTACAACATAAATTAAAAGGCACTAGGAAAGTTTGAAAATGTCATAATACTTTTTCTTCAAAGAACTAATTTTGAGGATTTTAGTTCACATTATTTTATTTTTTTGTTCCAAGTCAAATGTCAAACCAAATGCCAAGTAGTCTTCAAAATGAGGACAAAATGTAAATAATTATTGTATCTGATAGAAAGCTGTAGGACGCCGGGGACCGATACCGTACCAGACTGATAAAAAACTATTTCCATACGGTATCATCCCCTGGCATCCAATGCATATTTCTGCCATGACAGTGCACATGCATGATTGAGATAATGTTTGGAACATTGATGGTCAATTATTAAATCATCTTTAACATGAAAAAAGAAAAACCCATATCAATTACAAAGTTCCGATTGGTTCTCATTGGACTCGCAACTCGGGGCCGACCCACTGGCACCACATCTGATGCATTGCGTCCATTCATTTATTAAGGCTTGCTCCTTGGATGTGTCAGGAAATTAAGGAGCTGCAGAAGAGACGCGACGCTGCACGCAGACGCTTCAGACGGACTAGGCTTGCAGATGATTATCAAATATTCAGAGTGCTTCGAAACACGACACAGACAAGGATCCGACAAGCGAAAGCGAACTACTTTCACGAAGCCCTTTCCTCAGCTCCTGATATCAAATCAAAATGGCTTCTACTTCGTAAGCTTTCCCTCTGTGAACCTTCTAGATCCCCTTCCTCAGTTTTCCCAATATCACCTGATGACCTAAACTCCCACTTTATATCGGTTTCCACCTCTTCTTTACCATCCCCTTCCGGCTTTTCTCCAGAGGTACCTTTTAACGACAATAATTTTTATTTTTCCGACATTTCTCCCACAGACCTTATTACCGTTATAATGAAATCCCGTTCCAATTCCGTAGGCCCAGATGGCATTCCTATCAAACTAATAAAATTATGTCTCCCTGAAATCCTCCCAGCACTCCTTTTCATCTACAATTTCTCCCTGCAGAATTCAATATTCCCGACCTCTTGGAAAAAAGCCATTGTCCTTCCTTTAAACAAAAAGCCTAATCCATCCTCTCCCGAAGATTTCCGCCCAATATCAATCCTTTCCAATCTTTCTAAACCCCTAGAAAAGTTAGTGCAATCCCAAGTTTCCAACTACCTTGAACAATCCAACCAACTCGATCCTCTCCAATCTGGCTTCCGTCCTGGCTACTCTACACAATCTGCTCTGATTAAAATTACTAGTGATATCCAGACTGCAATAGATGACAAAAAACTAACCATACTTATACTGCTTGATTTCTCCAAAGCTTTCGATTCCATTATCCATTCCATCCTTTTCAACAAACTAAAATCATTATCCTTCTCCAATAGTTCCATCTCTTGGTTCCAGTCTTTCCTCTCACAACGAACCCAAGCAGTTTCCATACCTAATCAACCTCTATCTGCCTACCTTCCTTTATCCTCAGGAGTTGCACAGGGTTCAAGCATGTCTCCTCTTCTTTTCAGTTCTTATATTAATGACCTAAATGATTCAATTATCCATTGTTCCCACCACCTTTATGCCGACGATTCTCAAATCTATTTATCCTTTTCTCCCGCTGAGTTATTGGTGGCATTTGCCAAAATTCAAGAAGATTTAGATCGAATTAGTGCCTGGGCCAACTTAAATGGATTAAGGCTAAATGCTGCCAAAACTCAGGCCATTCTCATTGGTTCCAAGCCCCTTCTTAGATCCCACACCAACTTTCCCTCACTCTATCTAAACAACCACCCCATCACCTTCTATCCCTTTGTTAAAAATTTAGGCTTTCTCATAGATCAAACCCTTTCCTGGAATCACCATATCTCTCATATATCCCGCCGTGCAATTTCTACCCTCAAACTATTCCATCACTTCCGCCATCTTCTACCCCAAAATACCCGTAGACTCATAGTTTCCTCTCTCATCTTTCCCCACTTTGACTACAGCTGTGTGGTGTACGATGGCCTCTCGGTGGAACTGCGTGATAGACTCAAAAGACTTATGAATTGCTTCGTAAGATTTGTAATTGGAACCCCGAGACGCTCCCGTGTCTCCCACCACTACACTGAGTTAGGGTGGCTCTTCCCCTCCTTAAGAAGACAATATTTCCTTGGCACTTTCCTTTATCAAATCATTACCGATCATCGTCCTTCTTATGCCTACAACCTTCTCCAATTTAAGTCCTCAATCCATTCACTCACTACAAGATCCCGACCCTCTGACCTATACATCCCTTCTCATAGATCTGCCTCATTCCAAAATTCCTTTATAGCCCGCTCTGTCAACTTTTGGAATTCCCTCCCGATCAAAATTCGACATGCCCCTTCCCTGTATACATTCAAAAACCTCCTATTCCAATTCCTGTTCCAAAAACAGTCTGATACCAGCTAACTATTGATATTATATATGTATTGTGTAGCAATCATATAATCATAACACTTGGTAAGAGATAGTACATGCATTTCCTACTATCGACGTAGGAATTTCAATACATACATTTTTTTTTATTTTTTTTTTTTTATTCAATTATAAGTAACTGTTTATTTTTATATATATATTCAAGTAAAGTTTTTTTTTTTTTTTTTTATGAAATGAACTCATTGTATCTCTTTTTCGTTCTTCATTTCTCAAAGTGTATGTTTATGTTGTTCAACCCTTAAATATAATTTTGTTCATAGTTCAAGTGATTCGTTCATAGTTTTAATTGTTTTGTTCATAATTTTAAATGCTCTGTACATAGTTTTATCTGTTTGTATATAGCTTGTGCACCTAAGGTTTTCTTTACTTTTTATTTTATTTTATCAATTTTATTTATTGTTTCAACGTTCAGGCCAGTAATATTCTATTATTTTGTACATTATTGTTATTCTGAAGGGACTTAGTCCCAGAATAAAGTTTTTTTTTCTATCTATCTATCTAAGGCTTCATGTGATGGAAGAAATCAGTGCAGAGAATGCTACAGAGCACTGAGAAAGACCCTAGGAAGTAAAGAGGCAAATAAGAAAAGACGGAAAATCATTAATTTCTCTGAGGACTGTGATGGTGTGCCCGGATTCTGTTTGCCGCGTTTCAACCAGTTAGCAACTTAATATTTCACATAAAAACTTATTACGTAACTTTGATTTTTATATTCCATTTCTAACTTGACATTGAAAAAATATTACACAAATAATGTATAAAATGTATCATGAAAATTATAATTATAAGTAATAAATAAACTTTTTCTCATTTAATTTTCAATATTTAATAACACTTTTTTTTCTGTAATAAAGAGAAATAATAAAGAACTCATCATATAAATGATATCGGATATCAGAGTCCACAAGGAATACGAATTTTAGTTAAACTTTGTTGTCAAAAGATAGCGGTATATTTTGAAACTGATGTATGTCTCCAAGGTCCGATGCTATTAGGAACTTCATAATTAGAGTCGGTCGCCAGGGACCAATATTGTTGGGAAAGAGATCTGCATAGCAGCTAACGTATTAAAATCCTTTTTCAGCGCCATGTCGTGTTCCATAAAATCTGTCTAGCTCTTTTTCTTTCTGTACTTGTAATAAAATAATTTCAGGTCAGGAGGGTATTAGCATATAGGATCCAACCACAGTTATGGGCTGCCACTTGCGGAAAACTGTGCACCCCCCTCCCCCTCCCGCCCTTCTTCAGATCCCTGATGGCCTGGGTTTCCTACTTCCTAAAATCGCAATTCTAATGTTATCCTCTGGTTTCGGAGAGAAATCCCTCCTCCTTTTTCTGGGCTAAGGGCCAACAACTCCAGTATCTAAACACTACAGAAGCCGGAGTTGTTTGGCATTCTATGGTTAAGAAATATTAATTTGAATATGTTGACAATAAATAGTAGTCAATTATGTTTCGTTTGAAATGTAAATTGTTAGTTTAAATAATAAATTACAATCAGTAAAACAACTTATGCCTCTTTTTTAGTTCAGCTCCAGCTTTAACACTTAATGGTCTTATATAAAATATATTTGAATTATTTTAACCATCATTCACTACAAATTAGCAAAAATGCTCCACATTTTAATTTATTAGATGGCGGTTAAAAAATTAATGATTAATTTTAATGGTTAATTTAGTTATTTTAATACCTGTTGAACATGATCTTTTTTTTTCAATGCATTTAAAAAGTCCAAAACTACAACTTTACTTTCATCTTTTTTCTCTTCTTCAGGAATAATAGTTTTCTTTCTAGAATAAAAGCAATATGAAATACAATAAAAATGTAAAGATAGTCAAGTGGATTGTCATAAAATATAATATTAAAAATGAAATGAATCACAATTTTTTCACCATAAGATTAATTTAAAAATATAAATGCAAATGTACCAATCGGAATATTAAGTTTTATTATAAACGAGAAAAGTGAAAGTGAAAACATAGAAAAATGTTCAACAAGCAAAATTTAATTTGAATGGGGAAAGTAAAGGCAAACTAAAATCACATAACATATTGAATCTCTTAACATAATTGAAAGAAAGCAAGTTGAAAAGACAGTGAGATATGGTAAAGTTTTTATTTATTTTTTTCACTAAGATTCAGTAGGAAAGTTTCATGATAAGAGTTCATGGGGATATGTTTGTTAACATGATATGGCATCATAATCAACCAAAAACATTGTATTACAGAGATATTTATGGTCTTCAAAAGGCCTTAATATTGTGTTCCTGTAATTTCATTGGGTAGGAGGTAAACTTTTGGAAAGCAGCCAACTGAGATTAACACAACCTTAGGGAAATTTTAAACTGAAACATTTTACATTCTTATAAAAATTTTGTTTGAAGATTTTTTCACACAACTGTAATGTGTGTGTGTATATATATATATACATATTATTGGAGTAATACATTAGAATAAAATACCTTTTTTCAAACAATGAAATATTTTCTTGACTTATGGCTTCTTTAATCAGGTCTAACTGTTTTTGTTTAATTGATGACGGAAAAACTGTTTTAGATGACAAATCATAATTTCCAGAATCAAGTTTTCTTTCTTCTTCGACAACCTTCTTCACGGATTTAAGCACTTTCATAGGTTCTGTTTTCATTGAAGGTTTAATTTCATCTTTCTGGGAGTCTGTTTCCGATTTCGAGCTTAAGCCAGATTCTGACTCTGATTCAGAAACATATTCTTCAAAATCGGATTCATAATCCTGCAGAGTTAATTTTATTGGAACAATAAAAATGATGTACAAGAATACTAAAAATAATAACATTTAATTGACCAACATAACAAGGTGTAATATTTATATTTGCATAATCAAATCAAAATTATATGTACTTCAGAAATATTAATAAAACCAATGAATGGATAAAATATCAAATTGATATTTATAACAGTAATAATTTGATATTATCCACTTAGAAAAGTGGCTTACCTACCTCAAAATCATCTTCATATTCTATTTCTTCACTATTATCCTGAGTTTCCGTATGATGTTCTTCAACAGAGGTTTCCTTTACTTCTGATTCTAAATAGTTTAGACTTTCATCCTTCGTAAATGTTCCTTGTCTAGTAACAGGACGAGGTTGAGAAGTAGCACTCTTGATTCGAGCACTTTGAACTCGTTCGGTTGACCGTTTAGAATCGACCATGTCAACTTCAAAATATATCATATCCTTGTAATTATCTGTAAGAATTACAAAACATACTTAATGCAATGAATGTACAAGTTAGTAATTCAAATTACCATAGATATTGAATGGATGTCATAAATTAGAAATTCTTATTAAAAAATTATTTAAACATACTTTTAACAGTTTCATCATCCTTCGGTAATTCCATTTGTATGTTAGAGATTTCAGATATATTAACATCCTGCAAATACTCTTGATTAGTGACCTTTTTCTTACTTAAAGACTTAGCATCCTTTTCAATGGTATAAGATTTAGGCTGCTTAACTGAATTTTGTTTCATTAAAACATTTCCATTTTTTGTTGAAATGCTGCTTTTCAGAGCAACATTTCTTTCAGCAGTTTCATTACGTTCAGTTTTTTTGTTGAAACTTGATTTTTTACTAGCTTCAGTTTTACTATTTTCCAATTCATTTTTTTTTTCTTTGATAAAAGAATCTTTTGATATACTTTTGAACTTGGTATTGTTTGAAGTGCTCCTTTGTACTTTTTCAGAGCTTTTGCTAGCAATGATAGATGTTCCTCTTTCAGCTGGTTTAGTACTCCTCTTTGACTTTGATATATCTTCAGCCACAATAGGTCTGTTGCTAATTTTTTTTTCTGTTGGTAATCTTTTGCTAGCTGTGACTTCATTTTTTCCTTTAACCACTGGATTTTTATTAGTTGTTTCTATGATAGCTTTGCTACTTGGTTCATTTGTTTTTGAAGTATTAACATTTACTCGATTTTTGGGATTAGGAGTAATATTTTTACTGGATTGACTTACTTTGGCAACACTTTCTTGCTTTGTTTTATTCTTAACTACATCTTTGTTAACTACTTTACTAACTCTGCCTTCATGATTTGTTTTACTTTCAATTACATTTTTGCTTACTACTTTGTTAATACTACTTTCTCTCTTTGTTTTCTTTTCAACGATATCTTTGTTTATTACTTTTGTAACATTACTTCCTAGCTTAGTTTTATTTCCAACTGCAACTTTGTTTATTAATTTCACAGATTTTTCGGCTTCATTAAGTTTTTCTTTTATACTACTTTTGGATGTATTACTTTTGATATCAGTAACAGGTCCTGCAGTTCTAGTTGAAATCTTTTGTCTAGTTTTGTTACCATCATCAGTTTTAATCTGAAAAATATTTCATCTGTAATAGAATTCTTAAATATACAATTCTTTTATGAAACGTACTAAACCGATTTTTAAGTAAACATATCTACTTTCAAATGTGTATAATAAAATAACGTGGACACATACACTCACAAACCCATTTATTTCACTTGTTCCACCTTTTTTTGCCATGCCCACCACACCAAATTCACATCACTATATACAATTACAAACAGAATGTAAAGAAATACTACATTGGCAGAGCAAACTGAAAGAAGCGGTTATCTAAAAGGAAACCATCAATGTTTACAAGGGCAGAGACCATGGTAACCAACCATGCTGCAACAAGTAAAACCGTTTCCGTTAAGAGTTTTCGCCCTACCAAAAGTTTGATTTTAATTTACCTATTACGGCCTAGAATTCATGTTTAAAACTGTTAGCATACATTTATTTATAAGTGTATTATTTAAAATTAAAAAATAACTGAATGGTTTATATATACTGGATGTCGCGTAAGTAGAGGGAAATATTTAAAAGGTTGATAGTTGACATCAAGATCTACAAAAAAATACATTTAAACAATTGAATGACTTCCAGCAGAAAAGTGGGAAATTTAAGATTTGTAATTTTTTAAACGATTCACGTTTTTCGTTTAATAGAAAGCAATAACTTAAAAAAACATAAGTGATTAAACATTGCTTCAGAATAAACTTGACAAAATTTACTTTTAACGAAAGTAGAGTACGTCATTGTTAAAACTATTTAAACAGGATTTTTGAGCTGCTAAACACAAATAAGTTCTGTTTAAGAAAAAGTCATAAATTATTTGGGATTTTTTTTTTTATCACCCTTTAACTGTACTACGTTTTTCCCTCTTTTACAAAAACTTCCTCGTTTGATAAGCTTTAAGCTCGTATTAATTAAGTTGAGGTTTATTAGGACAATTTTTGTGATTCACCTTAAGTTGTGTAAAGAAATAATATGAATTTATATCCAATCACCTAAAAGTAACCGTGTTTTCAGCAAAGCTGACTAAAAATTAATTTTTGCAAAGCTCTTATTTCTTGTTGCCCGTGCTATGGGATGTATTGTAATAAACATAATTGCCCAAAAACATATTTTATTTATAAATATAAAAAAATTAAAAATAACAATTTTTCAAATATTTTCGTGTAAGGTCGTTATGTAGTTGTGTTTTTTTTGTCATGTGAATCGATCGATATGTATTAATAAATGACAGACTAAATGTTTCTAGCCCTAATATTCACATTTTATGTAAATAATTTAATCAATCAGTAGGTTTCTTTACTTTAAACTTAAATTTTAGTAAGAAACATTATGTTTGTCACTGATAAATACATGTCAATTCCTAAGACGGAGATCTGAGAGAAAAACACAATTTCGTAACAACTGCACGTGAAAAATATTTTTAAAATTGTTATTTTTAATTTTTTTATATTTATAAATAAAATGTATTTTTAGGTAAATATGTTTATTACAATACATCCCATATCACGGAAAAACAAGAAATACAAGCTTTTCAACAGTTATTTGTAGTCATGTTAGCAGAAAACACGATTATTTTAAGGGGACTGGAAAGGAAATCACATTTCTTTACAAAACCTGAGATGAATCTCAAAAATACTACTAAAATTAAACCTCAACTTAATTAATTAATGGGCTTAAAGCTCATTAAACGAGGAAGTGTTTGAATAAGTGGCGTAAATGTAATACAATTAAAGGGTGATAAAAAAAAAAAAAAAAAAATCACAAATAATTTATGACTTTTTTCAAACGAAACTCAGCTGTGTTTGTCCCACCAAAAGTCCTCTCTGAATAAATTTTAACAATGACAAACTACTTTCGATTGAATTGAATTTTGTCTAGTTTACTATGGAGAAATGTTTATTTACTTAAATGAAATATTTTTCTTGTTATTTTTCAACAAAAAACGTGACGATTTAAAAATCACAAATCCTAAATTTCTTACTTTTACGCTGGAAATTGGACAAATGTTCGTATGAACTTTTTTGTTGATCTTGATTTCTACTGTCAACCTTTTAAATATTTCCTTCTACTTCCGGGAAACTTTGTATACATGAACTGTTTTTTATTTTTTTTTAATTTTATTTCGGCAGAACGTTCACCACCCCCTGGAATGTGAAAAAAATCACAAAAAAATTTAAAAAAGCATCTATTTAATAAAAAGAGAAATTAAATCTTCATAGACGAATTTTCTAATGTGACATTAAAAAAAAATTATTATCGTGACTAGTACTAGCGGATCCAGTCGGGGAGCGCGTCCCTCTCTTCATGGATGGTGGGGAAAAAGTTCCAACAAGCAGCTATTTAAAGAAAAGATAAATATAGGGAAAATTCATTTCCATAAACGAACTTTCTAATGTAATATAAAAAAAAAAATATTATTGTGACCAACACTAGTGATTTCTGCCAGGGGATGCGCCCTCCCTTGAATGGTGGAAAAAAAAAGTTCCAAAACCAGTTATTTAAAGAAAAGAAACAAAAGTAGTAAGAATTCATCTTCAATGAAGAATTCTTTAATGTGATATTAAAAAACATTATTATCCTGACCATTTTTATTAATCTTACTGTTTGTCATATCACGTCACCTCAATAGGCAGTGAATCAACTTGCGCCCGGCCTTTTGCGGATAGCAAGATTCTGTGAAACAAACAATAGAATGTAAGAGCAAAAGTTTGCTGGGTGGAGCAGGGGTGCCCATCCCCTCAAGGTCGATGGCGCAAGAACCTACTCCCTTCCTCCTTCCAAGATATTTTATTGCTCAACTTTTCTTAAAAACAGAGCAAGCTAAAGTAGAATTAGAAAAGTCGTAGATCACATATACTTATACTTCCTACGGTATGTTCAATTTTTTATTTTTTTCGAGTCCTCCCCTTCCTTGCCTTTGAGGCTTGGCAATCCGGAGTTTTCCCGGGCCAGTGGATGAGAGTGGGGATTTAAAAGACTCCTGGCACCGGGACGCGAACTCATAAGTATTTTTTGCCCATATCTTACATATCATGTTGCCAGGCGGTGATGTGCACACGCGTTAGCCCTTTCGGCCACCCCGCTCACTAAATATGTTCCATGTGGCGTAACTGTATTACAATTAAAGGGTGATACAAAAAAAAATATCACAAATAATTTATGACTTTTTTCAAACGAAACTCAGCTGTGTTTGTCCCACCAAAAGTCCTCTTTGAATAAATTTTAACGATGACAAACTACTTTCAATTGAATTAGATTCCCCTTCCTTGCCTTTAAGTCTTGGCTATCCGAGGTTTTCCCGGGTCAGGGGATGAAAGTGGAGATTTAAAAGATTCTCCTGGCACCGGGACGCGAACTCGTGAGTATTTTTTGCCCATGTCTTACATATCACGTTGCCAGACGGTGATGTGCACATGCGTTAGCCCGTTCGGCCACCCCGCTCACTAAATATGTTCCATGTTTTTCCATTAGTTCGAAAATTAATAACCCATTCGAAATCTCCCTCCCCCCTCAAAATTCAAAAACCTTTCAAAATATGTCTCCCTCAAAAATTTTGATGGCACAACTGGGCACCCCTGGGGTAAAGTGATGCAGTTTTGGATCGCTGGGGTCAGCGTATGCGCTTTGGAAATCGGCTCTAACTTATTCGAAAATTTCAGTATGCTGCTCAAATTTGGTTCGTTTATGTTTTTGACTGTATTGAATTTGAATTCAAGCCATTTTGTCGACAAGATGCATGCATTGAAAGCAAAATAATAAAATATTGATTTTTATTTTATTTTGAATTTAACTCTATAGGTAAATTTTTTTCTGTATTGAAATGTATGTGATCACATATGAAATATTATATTTAAGATATCATGTTACTGTTGAACCATTATAATCTTCTACTATAAAATAATTATAAATTAAATTTTAAAAAATATATATAGAATTTCATACAATTAATTTTTAACTCACTTTTATAATGCAAACTTATCGTTTCCTGTAATATTGTACATTTATTCGGTTTGTACACTTGATATAATGTAATCGGAATCGATTAACAAAATGTTAAAGGTTACCCTTATAAGAAGCAAAGTTAACTACATCAACGGTACTCATCCTTATGAAAGAGCTCTATTTACTCAACCAGTAGCTAAAGCCTGTTCCATTTGTTTGTAATCTTTATTTTATTAGTTTTACTTTTCAAATACAGTGTTTTGGCTATGAATACTTTATTTTAAATGTTTGTAATATTGAATTACTGGTAAAGTTTTAATTTATGTGGTTTCGGAATGAAAATGATTTGAGCCATTTGCATTCTGAAATATATATAGAACAAAATAGTGACATTTCGAATGATATTCTTTTGTAGATTATTATAAAATTCAATTTTGCCCTTTCTGACATTTTAAATATAACACCCCAAAAACCTTTTATGCCAAGAGGTAGCATATATTTTATGGAATATAAATGGATGGAGTTTAAATTGAAACAGAGGGAAACGCTAAGCTCGAAGTAATTTGACAAGAGACAGACGCCGCTACGAGTGGAAGCAATGACGGGTAGGTCAAGAGTGGCCGTAACGCTAAAAGGTTAGCAGTCCCCCCCCCTCTTCCATCCAGCATTCTCCCCCCCCCCCCGGTGGTTGTGACGTGTATGCAGATCATATCCAAAATAGATATTACCAGCTTCCATCTGTCAGTTCTCATGAAAGTTAACATCCCTTCCAGGTGCCTCTGAGAAATGAATGTATCCCTCTAGGACTGTCAATTACTCTTGTTATGCTTCATACAGTGTGTATCATCTATGTGGATTTTAGAAGGAGCGGGATAAAACCTGCCTTGAGTTTATAAATTTTTGAGTAATCATTTTAATACTTTTTTTTTTTTACTACATATACCCTGATAGCATACATTTAAATGATAGATATCGACTCTTTAAAAGAACGGACGTTGTTAAAGAGTGATTATTCAACAGCTGATAAACTTTTCAACAAATAAATTTACTCGTACAGCCCATTGAGAACTCTCTCACAATAGATAGACAGCCATCCCTCTCCCTAATGCTATTATGTGCTATATGTAAAGATCCATTTTTTTTTCTTAGCCTCCAGTAGACTTTATTTATGAACAAATACAATATACAAACTTATATAAATGAGTATATACAGGTCACATAAATACTCATATTATATAAGTTCGATGTATAATCGACTTCAGCAAAACATGTTTATTCGTATTTACAATATAATATTATCGAGATAGTCTATTCAAGAATAAAAATTAAGACTCAGAATTTACTTTAAAAAAAAAATTGAATTAAAAAAACCCGACTAAAGAAATTG